GGGTTCTCGATAATATGCATTAAGATATTATAATTCGATAATTTCATATTATTCTTAAAACAAAAGGTATAGCTTGTAGTCCTGTAACATAAAATAAGATGAGCGTAAATTTCACTTATGATTATGTAACTACTAAAGTATTTTTATCTATAAAAGTCATTTAACTATTTTTTCCTAACAGAAAAATTTCAAACTTTGAGATACTAACTAAAAAATCACTAAGTCGGAAAATGCCAGAATCCTCACTTATATCCAAGCTATGGCTTTGGAAGTGCCACGTAATTATATTGTATACTTAGTTTAATTTATATACTATTAACGGGAAAAGGCTCCTCTCCAGTATAGTAATCTCTCCAGTTGATTCAGTGCATATTTAATTTAATGATATCTGTCAATTTTAAAATCTGATGATCCATATTTATTTAAATAAAACAGCTTTTAAATCATGGTCAAATGTCATTAACCATGGTTATTATTATTTCTCCTTCTCTCTCCTCTCTCATCTCTTTCTTTCTCACTTAATTCTGCAACAATTTGTTTCTCAATCAGCAAAGAATTTGCTTTGTTAACAACAAATCGCTTTTTCTTTCCATTATTTTCACACCGTGATAAAAGAAGACAAAATTCAAAGGATGAACTTGGGTTATTAAATTTAAAAAATTCAACCCATGAGACTACTTCTTTGAAGCTTGGTTCGATCACAATGGTGATTCACAAAACTCTGTCATCTTCTTCGTAACATCATTTTTTTTCAATTTGGAGTTTCTGCAAAAGCCAACTAAAGAATTTGGAAAGGGCATGAAAAATGGGTAGGAAAATATTTTTTCATATACTTTTTTTGTCTGGTGAAATTCTCCATTTATTTTTTGGGTCTTCTTTTCCTGTGGTATTTATAATTGTAATCTTTAATTGGGGCTAATCACTCCATTTCAGACTTTCTCTTTTGAGACTCTCCCTAGTTGTTCATATGTAAATGTAAAAACATTAAAATATTGATGTAATTTTAATTTTCAATTGTTTGATTGCTCTGTTTTTTGGAGAGTTTTGGAGGAGGAAGAAGTGTTTCTTTGATGATTGAGAAAGGAATGAGAGGAGAGAGAATCACTAATAACCGTGGTTAATGATATTTGGTCAAGAAAATTAATCTGGTCCATTAAAAATTAAATGAACACGTGTCAACTATATGAAATTGCACTGGGGAAAACTGGAGAGAAGCCTCTTCCCTCCGTCCTCATACTATTAACGAATGTGGTGCAGCAGAGGGCGGCTCCTCCTTAATAAAAAACATTCTTGATGGAGAGACTTTCCCCAAATGGGATCCTACACAACATGAATTCAGAATAGTCGGATTCCAATACAACTCTCGAACACCTCATTATATTTATTGAAACTATGAATGCGGTGAGTAATTAATTACTCCTAATACTTATACTAGTGTGTGTATATGAAAGTTACTCTTTAATTTACTCTATATGTTTGTTGCTCCAAAAGAAATTAAAACAGTGTTTTGAGTAATTTATGTCCTTTAAATTTTCAGGCTTAGAAAAACTGGTCAAAGGAAAATTAAACCTTGTGCCCTAGCTAATAATAGTACAACATACAGTATATATATATTTTAAACCAAAAAAAAAGCTATTTCTTTAGCGTGGCCGGGGACAGACAGGTAGAAAAAGGGAAATTATATGAAAGAGCAAGTAGAAGATTAAATTTGTACTGGTATAAAACAATTCTCTGCAGGAGTACTTTAATTTGAGTCATGTCTTTTTATAATTAATATTACTAAAAAAAGAATTAATAAATTAAATAAAAATTAAACCTGTAAAATTTATAATATTGCAACTAATTCCGGACGATAACTTGATAAATATATAATCTTATTAAATATATACTCCGTAGTATTACAACTTTAGTGAACTTTTTCCCTTGTTCATCATAAGTACTGAAGAAGTACATGCATAGCATTTAATTTGGTCATATCACATAAATAAATGGATCAATGTAACGTGAATTATGATGGAATAATTAAAATTTATTTATTTTTAATTAGAGATTTTGAGTTCGTATACTTAGAAAATGAAAAAAGTTTCTTATTGGAAGCATTGAACCCTAAAATAGACCCTGTGTAATTCAAATTTAATATATATATATAAAACATAAAAATTATGCTACTTTTGTGAATATCAAGAAAGGTAGTTCGTAACCTATGGACATGCAACCACGTGTGAGGCAAATAGCTGATGTTGTGAGTAAAAAAATCTCAATGCGTTTACCAGAGCTTTAAAATCTAGAAATACTTTTTTTCTAACTCAAGAAATGTTAAAAGTTATTTAGAGTTTAAATATAATAATATTTTAGGAGTATAGATATTCTTTTAAATAATTCGATGGTGAAAAGATTATTTGCATTGAAAAGATATATCATTACACAGTTATGATATTTAGGAGTTGTTTGATATGAAGATAAGATAGATAAAGTTATTCTATCATATAAATGAAATAACTTAATTATCTCATCATTATAGTGCTATAAGAAAAAATAAAATTAGTTACAAAATTTATTGTTAATATGTCGCTAATGATCTCCTAGCTAGCTAATTGAATTTTCTTACAATTCATCGCTAATTCATAGGTAAACACAATAATTAATATGAGATTTTTGCTAAAATTTTGTTCGTCACTAATTTTTTGTTTTCTAGTAGTATAGTACAATTAGTAAAATAAATAATTCTAAAACTAGCTTATAATATCCTACACTAAATAGATAATAAAATAATCTTACATTTTATTCCGAAATTATTATCTTTTATTTATGGTACCAAACGATAATTAGGAATCTTTTTGTGATCATTATTAGTTATATATATATATATATATATATATATATATATGACAGAAAAGAGGTTACCACTTTTTGGGAAATATTTTCTACTTTTGTGATATTGAAGAAATGAATTTCTAATTTTCTATTAGTCAAACATCTAAAATAATGTAAGCCCTTATTAGTTAATTGCACATTACACCAATTAGGGATAAGTGCTTTGGGTTTTAAAAAAATTAATAGTACTAATTAGAACTTTTAGGATGTGTGGAATTGTCAGTGGTGGCTGTGTTTTTTATTTTTTAGGACAAAGATCATGTAAGTGGAATTTTTTAAATTAGAGGTCACGTGTATACAGTATTTCTTAACCAAATTTGTGAGGTGGTGATTGTGATCTACTAGTAATAAACTATTCCAATCAATGTGGATTATGGTAGGATAATTGAGATATTTATATCTTTGATTGAATGTTTAGAATTTAAGTAATGAGTATAAAAAAAAACTTGTTAATACTTCAATATAGATATCAGACACAGATTGAAAGTTTCCCCGCAACAACAAAAAAAGAAGTACTAATAGACTACTACTAAAACTGTTTGACCTAAACAACCTTTTTTCCCTATAAATTATATAAATGTGGACCATTTTTTCTTTTTTGTAACTTTCTTGGGAGTCCCAGATATGGAAAAAGTGAAATGGAAGGGGAAAAACTTACCCATAGTTAGTGATAATAATGATTATTTTCTATAATTAAGTACTAACAATCCATGTACAAGCACACATTATGTATTATTTGAGTTGCTATAAACACATTTACCAAATATGGGAGGAAATATAAACCTATAATTATATGAAAATTCGAATTGTATACTTTCGGAGAAATCTTTAAAGATGATCAAGAAAATAAATATTTTGCGTCAAGTCTCATTATAAAATTATGAAGCATCTCATGAGATCTCAAATTAACAAACAAAGGGGTACAAAGAACTTCAAGTGGAGATAAACTACTTGTTGCAACACTTGTCAAAGAGAAGGACAAACAATATAATGCACATCCTTTTAGAGTCATTATTGAAGATCGTCGATAATTGTTAGAAGTGAACAAACATCACTCTCACACATATCTAGACTAAGACAAACAAATGTGCAGATTTTCTAACAAATAAAGGCCACGAACATACAAAAGGTTTGCTAATCCAAGAAAAAACAAAAGGACATGAATTTCTTCTCCTAACAAACTTAATTAGTCATGTAGTTTATGAATGATATTATTTTTTTCAATAAACAAATTTATTTTAACCTAATAGAGCAAATATATGTCTTGTATTTACCTGAAATAGCAAAAAAAAATTAAAAATTACAACATATAACAAAAATTTGGAGTTTATTTGTTTGCTTGGAGCTGTATCTATTCATATTATATCAATGTATTAATTCGCTCTATATTTGTTCACTGTGATACATAGTGAATCGATAACTGTATCACAAGTTCTTTAAAATAAATTAGATAATTAGTCAAACAATCGCTCTGATTGGTAATTAGAGCTCAAAGCCCAAATTATACTGGAGTCCACTTATCCACTGTGAGCTTAATTTAGGCCCATTAAACCAATGAAGCCCAATTGACTCAAATTATAAAGCCCAAACTAGACTGGCCCATGACATACAATAGTTCATTTTCTGCACAAATCTTAACTTCTCTTCAGTTTCAATTGGAAATGAAGCAAAGAAGAAACCTCCCTCTAATTTTGTAAGCAAATCCTTAAATATTCAATATTTGAATTTATTTTTTCTTCTTAAATTTGCTATAATGTCTGATAAAGATTCAATAAATACAGTTATTTAGAGACTTTGTTGATACTCACAGCAGAAAAATACCATTTTTCCTAACCTAAACCTCTTCTTGATGAATAAAGTTTGAATTTTTTTGTCCATTTTCAGTCAAAAAAACAATTTTGTGTGTTGAAATTTGATTAGCCAAGAATTGGTTTTCTCACAACAAAAAACGGGGTCTGGGGAGGATAGAGTGTAAACGGACCTTATCACTATTCTCTGAGTCACAGAGGCTGTTTTCGAGGCTTAAGAATTGGTTTTCTCACAACAACAAACGGGATTTGGGGAAGGTAGAGTGTACACAGACCTTATCACTATTTTCCGAGCCAGAGAGGCTGTTGTCGAGGCTTAAGAATTGGTTTTGTTGAATTTAGTAATATGAAGTTGTCATTGTTGTACACAGCTAAAACAGCCTATAGGTTCTTGAGCTCCAAAGCTACATGGGGGTGTCAAGTTAGTGCAAAGAGTAAGGTAAAAAGTTGTAGAAGTGAACTCTTACGTACTAAAAAGCCTAAAGTGAAGTTAACTGAGCAGCAAAATCAAATCTTGGAAGCAATTTCAAATGGGAATTCTGTTTTCATTACTGGGTCAGCAGGGACTGGAAAAACCTATTTACTTCAGCATATCATCACTAAACTTAGGAAGATTCATGGGAAATCTCGGGTTTTTGTTACAGCTTCAACTGGGGTTGCTGCTTGTTCCCTCAATGGGCAAACCCTTCATTCTTTTGCTGGAATTGGACTTGGTGATGCTAGTTCTGTGGATTTGCTATCTAGGGTTTCGTTGGATAAGAGAGCGTATCGAAGATGGAATAAAGTTAGGGCTTTGGTTATCGATGAGATTAGTATGGTTAGTGGTGAGGTTTTCGACAATCTTGAGTTCATTGCAAGGAGCATTAGAAGTGAAGAGCTTGGCTGTGAGGAGAAGATTTGGGGTGGGATACAATTAGTTGTGAGTGGAGATTTTTTTCAGCTTCCACCAGTTATTAATAAGAAGGGACAACAGAAGGAATTTGCTTTTGAAGCTGATTGTTGGAATGCTAGTTTTGACGAACAAATAGAACTTAAAACTATCTTTAGGCAATCAGATGCACAGCTTATAAAACTGCTGCAGGGGATTAGGAAAGGGAAGTACGATTCCGATGATTTGAAGTTATTGGATCAATGTTGCTCAAAAGTGGAGCCAGATTCTTCAGCTGTTCAGCTCTATCCACGGATTGAGGATGTGAGTAGAGTGAACGCTGAGAGACTGGACTGTTTAGATGAGGTTCTGTTTCATTATCAAGCTCTTGATAGTGGTAAAGATCCTTGGAAGAAGCAGCTTAAGAATGGAATTGCACCTGAGTTGCTCAAATTGTGTGTAGGATCTCGGGTTCTCTTGACGAAGAACATTGATGTTGTTAATGGACTTGTGAATGGTGCTACTGGTACAATCTTAGATTTTGCTGTTGTTCAAGATACTCATAAATTATATGACCGTGAGATTTCTGATATTTGCGGAAATGGTAACCTGCTACCTGTTGTTAGATTTGATTCTGGCCAAGAACTGATGATTGGTGTAGAAAGATGGTATGTAATGGAGGGAGATGAAGCTGTTGCAATGCGAAAGCAAATTCCACTCATATTGGCTTGGGCTCTAAGCATTCACAAGTGTCAAGGGATGACTCTGAACAACCTCCATACAGACCTCTACCGTGTTTTTGGCTTTGGGATGGTATATGTTGCTCTTTCGCGTGTTAAAAGCTTGGATGGCCTTAATCTAGTCAATTTCAATCCGTCAAAGATCAAAGCAAACCCCAAGGTTTTGCAGTTCTATGAAAGATTGTCTGCTGAGAAAGATGAACAAAAGGGAGACAGTGTAACTGATGATATCTAAATTTGGAAGTCTCTGATGTAAACCTCGAGTAATGGTAGTATAATTCAGGGAAGTTCCTTTGATGATCTTAAGCTAGATATGTGTGTGGGAAGAGACGTATATGGGACTTTTAAAGTAGAAACAAACACATTCAGAGCAATCCCGGAAGACGTAACAAAGATACAATCTTTGGTCATTCAAACCAGGGCATTGAGTTCTTCATTTCCTCCAGGTAACAGATTTGTTTGCCAAGCACCAGCACCTTAAATTTACAGAAAATCTGAGGATCTTCTGCCTATTACATAAACTTTATGAGGTGCAATGTCCGTATTTCTAGATTGTCACTTGAATCCCAGAAACACGCGAAGTATCTCAGTTATGTAAAGACAGGTCATTGTAGAGGAATGGATATACCCCTTCTTTACGAGACCTACAGAGGTGCGTCCTCCTACGTGTATCAACATATTTCTGTATATCTTATTAGTATCAATGGAGCTTTCATTCAGCTATAGGAAGGGATCTTGATCCATGACAACCTACTGTACTCTCGATTGAGACTTTTGTATAACCAACTGGATATTTCAGATGAAATTTTTTAGTGGTTTAACATGTTTTATCGCCAAGCTCGTTCATTGGGGCTTGGTGAGCCAGGTACCAGTAGCTGAAATGCAGTTGTTTGATATGGATCTTGTTACGTCAAGTGTATAGCCTATGAACATAAAACATTTGTATGATAAAAGATTGTTTACGAGCTATTGCATAGGAACAGGATTTAGCCGCACTACTTGGAGTATATGAGATTGTTTACGAGCTATTGCATAGGAACATGATTTACCTTGTGCGGCTGTTGGTTACCTTGTCACTGGACTGGTCTATTTTCCATGTTGACATTTCTAATTGTGTTTTGATTTAAGAATTGCAATTAAAGATAAGTGGACATGCAATTGCCTCATAACCAAATAAAAACAAAGTTCATCAATTTATCAAACTTCAAGATGACCTTCAACACATCGTGATGAACTCTTCTTTGCTTTAAAAAATTGATTAAACTCTCAAAACTTCATATGTGCCACATGTTGGAAATCTTACGAAAAATACCTTCACCACAAATACTCGTATGAAAATCACCAAAGCTTGAGGTGTGTTGAAAGACACTGTCTAAGATATTTCATTCGATATAAGTGTATTCCCAGGATCCAACAAGCTCTTCTAGTATAAAACTAGAAACTAACAAAGATCCACAAAAGAAAACCAACAATATAGATGGAAGAATTATAAGGAAGAATTTCTCCCTCTCTCTCTATTCACACAAAAGGAATATATATGATTTCTTACACCAACAATAGCCATGAGAATATCAACCTCTTTCTTCAACCCTCATTATTGAAATGGATTAATGGAATCTCAATAAAGAAAATGAGACGTTGGAAAAAAGTATTAAAGACCATAGTTAATCAAGACTATTTAGGACATTCAATGGCTATTTAAGTATGAAAATTAAAATTGTCGACACAAATCTTTTCTCAAAAATGAAAGTCATAAAGCTATGCAATTGTAGAATCAATTATTCGTGGGAAGAAATATCTCTATATAAATCATAATAATTAACAACTTAAAATATTAAAATAATATGTTAAAAAATTAATTAACTCTCAAAATATTATTTGTGTAAGGTTTAAGAAAAATTATATCTAACTAGTAGCTCAATAAAATGAAATGCTATCAATACTTAAATAAATAAAATAAAATAATATGATGGGTCCCACCTCCCACACTTTTTGACTTGAAATACAACGTTCCAAAAACATGAGTTAGCCGTTTTAGCAGTGAGAGCCTGAGAGGAAAGCTCCATTGATGTAACTCCCAAAAAACTTCTCCCAATTACCTCAACCGCACCTAAATTTGGAGAATTACACTCCGAAAAATCTACTTAAATTCTCTGTTTTTGGTGTTTCAGAGACTTCATTCATGGCGGATTTCTCTTTTCTTTCTGATAGTGACAATGAAAAAGCTGTAGAAGATCTTCTCTCACAAGCAATGGATCAATCTGTTCTTGAACAAGTTGCTGCCATTAATTGTTCTGGTTTTACCGACTCTGTACTCCCCACTCAGCTCGAAACTCGTTTTCGCAAACTCAAATCCCTTCCTACTGCTCCGGCAACTCCAAAACCCTCTGCTGTCGCAAGAAATTCGAAGAGTTTCGGTTCCTCGGAGTTCCCAAACACCCCTAAAACGAAGAAAATTGATGATGAAAATGAGAAAATTGAAGGAAGCCCAGTTGAGGCGAAAGGTTCTAAGGTGAATTTGGAAGATGGGTTTGTTGAAAAACAGACGAAATCAACGGTTAGTTCGATTGAAAATGATGTTTTCTCGATAACCACAAATGGGAAAAGAGGGAACAAATCTTCATCTGGGCCAATATCATCTCCATCGGATTCTTCGAAGGATTGTTTGTCTCCACCAGCGAAAACTGGGTGTTTTTGGTGTTCACCTAAGAAGGGGTTTAATAAAAAGGGGAAAGAGAATAGGAATGTGAGTATGGGGCTGAAATGGGGGAAGGATGATGAGTTTTTATCGGACATGAGTATATTTTCGTCGAAAAATCAAGAGAAGTTGATGAAGAAAGCCATGGAGGAGCAAGAGAAGATTAATAGAGAAGCTGAGAAGATTGTTAAGTGGGCAAAGCAAGCATCTGCTCGGATGGATGTTTCTAGCATTGAAGATGAACTAAGTGATGATGACACTTTCAAATGAATGTGAGAATTCCTTTTATGCTGCTTTACTAGTAAACTTTATAAGATGCAATGTTCATGTTTTTAGATTATCACTTGAATCCTAGGAACACATTTAAGTGTCACAACTATGTAAAGATGGGTTTTTGTAAAAGGCTGTTGGTTTCCTTGTCATCCAAAAAAGAAAACAGATTGGACTAGACTATTCTCTTTGTTGGCATTTCTAATTGTGTTTTGATGCAATTGCCGCATATATATATAACCAAATAAAAACTAAGTTCCATCATAATTAACTACACTGTAAAGATAAGAATTTTTTTATTATAGAGAAAAAAAGTGTTTGCTAAAATTTGTACAGTTTACAATAGCTGAAACAACCAAAATTAGAAGTGAATAGTGTCATTCATCAAACTTCCAGTACAACAGCAATGGAAGCCATACCAGTCACATTCTCTCCAAACCATAGTCGCCCAAAAGAAAGAAAAAAGATGTTGAAATAAAAGTTGGAAGCATGCACAATAAGAATTAATCGATCAAAAATGTAGCTGCAACGCAAGCACATCTCATCAGACGGTTGGGCGAGATGAGCGACTCTTTGAATTTGAATGATCAAACTTCAAGATGGCCTTCAGTTTCTGGAAAAAATTAAGTGCGCATGCCTGCAAGTAACTCAATCAGAGGCTGAGAAAGTGGTCATGAAGCTGACACTATGTACAAAAACTTGTGAAGAAACCCAAGTTGACTACATTGGGCATTGATTGAAGTCAAAATATATTTTTGTATATTTAAAGATAATTTAATAGAAGGGGAGTTTGGAGTGATGATAAGTGGTGTACTGTGACCACGAGGTCATTTTTTCACTATGAAAACAACCTCTTAATGAAACGCAAAGTAGTAAGATTATGTACAAACACTCAATATGGTCCAGCCCTTCCCTGGACCCATAAGTAACGAGAGCTTAGCGCACAAGATTATCCTTTTGTTCATATATAATTTAAGACAGTACAAACAGTAACAACATTCCCTATTTGTTCCAATAATAAACATGACAGTGAGAATGAACAGATAAGGGCAAGTATTGATAATCAATTTCCTAGAGAGACTATGGAAGGAATGGTAACAGGAATTTTCCTCACTTTTTGTTCCCAAAGTTCCTCCCATAATGTAACTATAAATTAATAAAAACCAAAGACATATGCGGGTATTTTTTCCTCCAAGCTTCTTTTTCTTTTCTTTGCTTTTTTGGTGCAGCTATAAGAGGTCATTGATTAAACAGAAACATAACCCCCGCTAGGGGTGGAATAAATCACCGGAAGCCAAATTACCAGGCTGAACCGGGAATCCTTTATTCAGTAACCGGTACGATATTTAGGAGTAAATTTCAGAATTTTTGTACTCGGTGTGGTAGTTCGGTAACCGGTACTACCTAATAGCTAAGTTTCTAACTTTATCAGCCTTTGAGCAAGAGCATCAATTCACCAGTACTGACAATAAGGTACATGTTTTAACTAGTACCTCCCTTCTACTTTTTAATGCTACACTTCGTCTAAAAGTATATAAGAGGAGTGGGTAAAGTCATTATATTAATGAATGAATTCCGTGCTTCAGGAAAACAACTCAAGAGTAATTTCTCATGCTCCAGGCAAACAATTTAGGAGCTATTGTCAAAGCTAGTTACCTACATCCTAGTAATCGAGTTTCAGATCTAGTCTTTAAAACTTTTCATGCTTTTGGATTGCAAAAGAATCTCAATCTTAATTTTGGGCTGAATTTGGACTTACTGTTTTCCGAGATTTATACGGCCATGCCAACTCCACCTTCAATACGTAATTACCGAATTACTGAACCAGAATTTACCGTACCGAAGCTTGATTTACTATACATGACCGAACTTTGGAAATACCGAACTGAAGGGGATCGGGTGAGAGAGGTTCGTACCTTCCAACGTCTTCTATGCAAAAGAATGCGGCTGATTTCTTCCAACCTGATAATTATTCGCTGAAAAGTCAGTCTTTTTGATGGTTGCTCCTCCCAGCAATCCTCAATTAACCTGTTGAAATAATCACTTTAAATACAATTGAAGGAAATTGAAAGAAACACATGGACTTACTTACTCTCTCAATCCATGAGCATACAACTTTTGTGAAGCACTAAAGGGAGGGCGTTCATTTGCAACATATGCTTTGGCCACCTCAATTTCCTGCTTCATGGAAAATGGTGGACAGCCTTCAATCATCTGTGGAACGGAAAGCATTAAGGCGTATACATGTCTAACCCAACGGCCCTCTTAAATATTAAGGAAATTACAAACATGCTGGAACAGTCAAGATGCTCCAAGTGAATTAATAAAGTAGAATAAGCATAATTTGCAAGAAATAAGAATAGGAGCCAGTAGATGGCAATACAATCTTTTTAGGCCCAACTAACATTGACTGCAAAATATGGAGGACCCCGTTGCCTTTTTCCTCCATGAGATGAGATCTAGAACGCATACAATACCAACCTGTTGGTGGCTATCAGTCTGATATCATGCCCATTAGCACACATTACACATCAAATTTCAGTTACATGAAGTAAAAAAACTGAAAATAACTACGAAGCAAGAAGTGATAGCCAGCTGCCCACGAACAAACTTAACATTTTTTCTTCCAGACAGGGCACAACTGGAGAGCCTTATTCAGTAGTTTATGCATGAGAGGAAAGTATTAAGAATTAGAAGAGCTTACCTCTTGCAATATCAAAGCAAATGAGAAAACATCCACCTTGGTATCATACTCCTCATGCTTAAGAACTTCTGGAGCAACATATCTCCCTGTAAACCAAGAGGTCAATTCAACTTGTTATTCTCATAAACTAAAACATTAGAATCTTATATCACATCAATTGCCTTGTTAAAAACATGCATATAAAGACCCATAGTTCTACAATGATTAAATAGGAGTGTTATCAACTAAATTTTGAGGCAACCAGCTTATGCATATTTTTTTCTAAAATAACTAATTAATACCCTTCTTCAAATTCTATTGCCAAATGTTCAAGAGTAATTCTTTTGATGAACAAAAAAAATCAAGATACTCCTTCTATTCCAAATCCTAGAGTTTCATTCACTAGCACAGCCATTTAAGTGTCTAAACGTGAACTGTTTAGTATTTGCTGGCAAAAGATACAAGGCCCCCAAGGCCTAGCTCAAGTGGCAAAAGGTGGAGGATTTGTGGCTTAGGTCGCAGGTTCAAGCCCCACACCATGCAAAGCGAAGCCCGGTATTTAAGTGGAGAAGGGTAGAGGGGCGGGCCCATTATCCACCAAGTTTAGAAGGCTGTGATTGGTCCAAAGGGCGGTTCACACACGGATTTCTCGGTTATCAAAAAAGAAGATACAAGGACCATATAAACATTTTCAGTTTCAAAAAAAAAAAAAAAGATTCAAGGACCATACGCTGAATCTTAGAGAGGAAACTGGAGGTGAAAATGTGTTTCATCAAAATTAAAAGGAAAAGTAGAACCATGAGACTTTTGAGCCTAAAGCCATTGTTTGTACACACTTTGCATAAAGAAAAAAGGAACAAAATATAAGAGTAACAAAAAAATGACAACAAAGTAACAGTAACAAATCATTAGTGTGAATATATTTCTTCAACAGCCTAAAATGCTGGGATATACTCACATGAATCCTCTTGGCGTGCCAATGGTCTATCTTCCTTGACAGTTCTGGTAAATTTCATCAGCTTACTAAGTCCAAAATCTGCAACTTTCAGAAGTCCAGAATCATCCCGTAATATGTTTCTGTCATTTCACTCAGAAATTAAAAGTTTTCCATACATTTGTCAGGCTTCAGCCACTAAAGAACAAACAAAGCACGTGACTGGCCACTGGGAAACAGTCAGGAAGACTATAATAACATACTCAGGCTCCAGGTCTCGATGAATTATTGCTTCAGGTTTATGCTCATGCAAGTAGTTTATTCCTCTGCAAAATGTATACAAATATGACTATATGAGACACATAGACGCAACTATAAGAAAGACAAATTCAGATTTCTCAACATATTTATGTACACAGCTTCTTCTGCAATTGATCGTGAAGCTGTGCCACTAATTTGCTTTCTAATGAAAATTTATAATCATCATGGAGCCCCAAAGGCCAGCACTATACTGTGTTGAGATCAATAAAGTATGAAGAGATACAAAATGAATGTAACAATTCTAAATTATACTTTAGAACTGAAGAGACTGTAGTTGGCGTTCCTGTATTAATGGCCATTTATCAACAGACACCTTAGGCAAATTCAAGCACCTGGTGAACAGCATGCATGTAATACTAATAAGATTTTCAAGTGGAAATTCAGGACATCAGCCAGTAAACTGACCTTGCAATATCCAGTGCAAACTTCACAGCCATTATTGGCTTTAATGCACCTTTCCGTTTCAGGAATGCACGAAGATCTCCCTGCATACAGAACAGAATCAACGGTATACTTTAGATCGGCAGGGACTTCAAAGGCTTTCTCAACGACTTTAATGAATTTAGTTGACATAAATAATGGGGAATATTTCCTTTGATCAACAAACAAACAGAACCATGGCTTTAATGATGAAATAATATGCATGATTTGTTAAGTCGTTAACATCCTTGTATTTAGTACTTCGTTGATACTTAACCATCAATTATACTATTTTGATGCATGGTCGTTCTTGATTTTGACTTTGTGATAATTTCAAAGTACTTTAAGTACAATAAGTTCTTGATTTTGTGATATCATAGCAAGATTCTGGAGATAACTCCAGGAAGTGGTGAGTTGTTCTTTTAAATCAAAAGTACCTTAGGCAGATACTCTGTGATGATCATCATTGGGCTACTCTGTGTCACAGCACCAAGAAACTGGACTACATTTGGGTGGCGTATCTTCTGTAGTAAGGCAAGCTCATCCCCAAATGCCTTGCTGAAAAACAGTTAGAAGACAAAGAAAAGAGTCTTTAGTAATTTTTTTATGAACTGTCAAATGAGGAATGCTCTAATTCCAACATCATAGATAGTCTATGACCAACCCACACTTTATCTTTGTCGGTGAACAATTCTTCACCAAGTTTCTTAACAGCAACCTCAGTTCCACGCCACAGAGCAACACAATACGTACCCTACAACCATTTAATATGATATGAAAATATATTGCAGTGTTGAAAGTTAATCTACTTTTATTCCAGATACAGAGCAACAGACAAGAAGTTAGAAATAACAGATAGGATTAAAGCAAATAGTTGCCAGAAACAAATACAATAATACATCAGATACTTCATTCAACCCCAAATTCTTGATCTACTTACCTGTAGCCTACCTCACAAATCCCTCTTCAAAAATTTCAGGTAATATATTTTAATTTTCACTTTATGTTATCTTAATGTTGAATTGACATCTTGCTTCTAGCTATCCCACGTCTTCAAATTTCCAAACTATCATTTTAAACCTTCTCATCTAAATGCCCCTGCTAGTCGAAATTAGGTCATATATGTTGCGATGGATGAATAACATTTGGAATGGATTAAATAATGAAACCAAAACAACAATATGATGTATATTTGTGGCAGGTTGATCAACTAAGATAACTAAAGGTGAAACAGAGCTTGGCAATAAACTTGAAAAACATGCCAGTATACTTGTTACCAAAGGCAAGCATCCCATTCTGAAAAATCAGCAGACATCTAATGCAATAACACAACACAAATAACAAAAGGGTAAAGTGAGCAATGATCAAATAAGCATAACTATCAAGTCAAAGACAAAAAGTTGTTACCTTTGTTATGTTGACACTATTACTAAAATCAAGTTCTCTTGGATCAATTTCATACTCTGGAATTTCACGAGCATTTTCTACATGCATGGGAGCCACCTAAAGTAAAAAGTAAAACAGATAAAGTAAATGGTTATGCCATATTACCATAGTGCACTTAGATCTGACAATCTAGTTGTCGACACATACCGCAGGTTTTGCTCCATGTACTTCCAAAAGCTTGACCACATCATTATTCTTGTAATATATTGCATCTGCAAGAGGCTATTTAATCATACTTTGTCACTTCACTACTCTACTGTGAGTAGCCAAAAATAGACCTCAAGATAGTCACACATATGTTCCACTCTGTAGACATCAGTGTACAACTTGGAGTCTAACTCAGTTCACAAAGCATCACTATACTAATGATTAAACACTATTAAGAATTCATAAATCTTCTCCAGAAACAGACGTACTCCTTTGTCTAAATTTGTAAAACACTCTTCTCATTTGGAAACCAAGGTATTAGAACATCTCTTTCCTATACAGCTTTCAAGAGTTCAAATAAAATAATCTAAAAAAAATAAATTAAACTCTGATGTGATGTATCAAACTAATTTTTCATCAATTAATACTTTCCTGTTACTGTTACTAAGATAACATGTAAGCCATATTAACCTTCACATTGGCTTATTTTGCTTAGAAGCACTTCTTAGAAGCTCACAAAACGAGCACAATCTATCCAAACGAATATTTAACAAGGTAGACAATGCCATTGCACCCAATCCCACATTTTCCCTCGCTCCAACACACCCTAGATATGCAAAAATAGGCATTACCTGGGTTAAATATAAGCAAAAAGCTGTAATTCCTGGTGATTGGTCCAAAGGGCGGTCATAGACGGATTTCTCGGTTATAAAAAAAAAAAAAAAAAAAAACCTGTAATTCCTGATAGGAATTTCCAAATGACTAAGACGGTTTGAAAAGTTGAATACTAGACTGGAAAGAAAATGCTGGTAAATCACTTATCGAATCAGGATTGATGAAAGGGCATGGAAGTATTCCCAAATAACATTAGCCAAAAACTGCTTTTGAGCTGCTGGTTTGACCAGCTTTTAAACGTAATACAAGTTAGTGATATCTAAATACAGAGTAATAATGAAGTATACCGTACTGCCCCAGCGATCCATGGCATCCACATGAGCGCCATTTTTAAGCAGAAAATCAACAACATCAGCGTAACCCTGGCAAGCGGCAATATGCAACGCAGTCCGTCCATCGATATCCTTGTAGTTCACACGGGTACCGGAGTCCAAAAGTTCCTCCATACCTTCCAAATCACCGTCATTAGTCATGTACATTAACCTCAAACCGGAATCAATACCTTCATCGACTCCATGGGCGGCGGTAACTGAGTCGTCGGAAACGCCGTCTTTCTCCGGCGCCAAAGATGATTGTCTGCCCAGTGGAAACCTTGACTGCGACTTTGACTCCATAGTGAAAAACTTCAACTGTTTAGGCAATTATGGTTCGAGTAATCGAAGAAGTCGAGAAGGTTCTCGAACAATCTATCTGAAACGAATCAATAATAAGAACGAGTGAGAAGCAAAGGTGGATACTATGAGTTAGAATAATTTTTTTCGTTGAGAAGCATAAAGGGAAACGTATAAGAATAAGACAAATGCTTTATTTAAAGTGCTAAAGTTGAGCAAGGCCCTACATTATTCAATTTAAATATAAGCTTCTACATTGTCTTTTGAAAACAATGACAAAAACAATCTTTTATTAAAGGTGTTTAATTAAGATATATTTATATATAAAAAAAAAAAATTGACCTAGATTTTTGCATAATTTTTTATAGAGAAAAATTTAGAAATAGCAAACATAATAAGACATTATAGTTATATTTCGATAATTGTGTTCTATTGTTATAGTTCTGTTTGCTATGAGGCTGTGGTTTGTATATTTTTGTATGCTTGTATATTTCGCTTGCGAATATACAAATAGAGTAAGTATATACTCCCTCCGTCCACAATTGTTTGCCAGGGTAAGGTCATGCATATCCCTCAAGGAAAATTTAATATAAGGTGTAATTTGACTAATATAACCCTACTATATCAAGAATACCAAAAATTCACATAACTTTTCAATTGAACTACGCAATCATTAAGGGCAGAATTGGAAAAAAGTGACTAATTATTTCTTGATCGTTTAAATTGACAATTAATCTTGGACATCTATTTTTAGTATAGCTGCCAAACAATTGTGGACGGAGGGAGTACAAATTTTGTATTTATATATTTAGTAATTTTTCACAACTCTGTTTGTATATTTCGCTTACCAATATACAAACATGTAATTTATTATGATTTTTTCATAAATCGTATACAAATAACTAGAGTAAGCATATGCAAATTTCTAGATTTATACAATCAGGAACCGATTTATATAAATTATGGATTTATACAAATCATACAAATTATACAAACCAAGCGAATAACAAGAATTGAGAAAATTGTAGTCGCGAATTACAATTTTCTTAAAATGTAGCTATGGTATCTAATATAGGCTAACTGTTTGTTATTCTACATAATTTTCCTTTGTTTATATACATAGTTTAAATTTTGGTCAAACTACCTTATTAGACATACATCACTACCATATATACTAATTTTAACTTTATTTTTAAACATTTACATATATTACTAGTTTTAATATTTTTTATCATATATTATTGAAGATACAATCAATATTCATATCCCTTAAAACTAGGATTGATTAATTATCTTTACATTTAAATTCCAAAATTAGTGTTTTGATTAAAAACAAATATCTTTTATGAGTTAGGGTAAAACTCAAACTCCAACTCTTCCTCTTCCCTTGATCAATCGAAATTTACTGAGAATAAATACTCTATTAAAATGGATGTTCTACAGCTTGTCAACGCACACATCAAATTCTCAGCGTTTGATTTTCTCACTCTCAAACCAATCCCCCCACGAATCCACCATTTTTTCTCGCAAGGGAGACACCTCTTGTGCGCACAGATAATGGGTATCGTTGTAAGCAACAATTTTAAGCCCAATAGATTTATCAAATTCGACATTGACAATGGTACCGATTGCATACCTTATATACTATAGATCAACCGAGAAACTTCATGTCACTTCTCCTGTTGGATTTAGGCGCAGTGAGCAACACCGATGAATAAAAAAGGTGAAGCAAACACCGCCGTGGTGAGATGCCCTGACCAGCCACGAACGTATCAGATAGTTTCAATAAGCGATTTTATGCATGTATTTGACACATTATTGATGTATTTGATACATTATTGAGATACGATTATATGTATTTAGTTTTATCAGTATATCTTGTTTAGTGTGTATGTATCTAATGAATATATCGGAGATTTACGCATTATTGGAATTTTACGCATGTATTTGGCACAATTTGTTCTGTCATGTATTCGAGTCTTGTCATATGTATTTGGTCTTCTATCGTGTAACTTAGTATTATCATACATATTTGTTATGCTATTACAATGTATCTAACTATTTTCGTATTATTTGAGATACTTATTTTTGGATATAATTTATGAAATCGATACTTGATACATCAAATTATACATATAAAAGATACATGAAATAATATTAGATCATATAACTAGATACATGATACATTATGTATCTAATTGATGAAGAAGATGGAGTTTGTAATTTTAGAATTACTAATTTTTATGATTTAGATTTTTTTTTAATATTAAAATTGGTAACACTTGATACCAATTTAATCCGTTTTGTTTGTTAATTTCCCATCATTTACTCCTTTAATTAAGGAATTAAGTTATAACATTTAATTCAAATCAGTTAAGTCACGTATCTTATCCTTTTAAGTATGATAGATACATGTATATGTTGTAATTCAAATCAATTAAATCATGTATCTCGTCCATTTAAGTCTGATACATACATGTATCTAGCGGCTTTGATACATGTATTTGATTGCCGAAAATGGTATAGAAAGTAATATTGAAAACTATCTGGATTTATAGTTTTTAAGATCTAAAGTAGTGGAATTTATGTAGTTTACCCTTAATTTTTCGATGAAGAATGTATGGATGGTAGAGGCGGAGCTACGTGGGGGTTCGTTGATTCGTACGAAACCAATAGCTTTTCCATAGGGTGTAGACCCTGTATTTGTATGAAAAATTAAATAAATATATATATTTATTAACTTGTGAACCCCTTAACAAATTTGATTTGATGACTCAGTGGTAAGAAAGGAGTTGTGAAATGCTGTCCACACTAGTGTTGTGGGTTCTAAACCACTATCAACAAAAAATTCTCCACAATATTGTATTATATTGTGTTGTATCAATAATTTAATAATAAGTATAGACAAAATGAAAAGAGAATAATAAGATAACGACACGATGAAACTTTTCGTTATTGCCCAACGATTGATCTAAACGATACAATACAATAAAAATAAATATTATATTTAAACTAACAATACAATGTATGTGAACCATCCAAACACAATGATAGTTTGATCATAGAAATTGAAATTTATTTTCAATATATTTGTGACATTTGATCAAAATTTTAAAATTTAATTTTTAAATATTTTCAATTTTTTCGAGCCAATTTTGGGGATTTTTCCTCATAAAACTTTTTTTAAAAAAAAAGAAATGTATGTCCAAATACAATTTTAATATTCAAAAAGTCAATTTTTCGTTTTAAATTTCAAACTTTAAAAATTATAAATTATAGTGGAACAAAAGCTTAAGATATACTCATGAGCGATTCTAGACTTTTATACATTTAAAAATTTATAATTTTTTTTAAATCTTTGATAACTATTGAGTTGTTAGATTGAACTAAAATCATAGTAATAGTAATATAAAAGATTTTAATACGAACTCATATCCAGAGATGTAATTTTTTGTCGTTTTTATTACTTTGATGCAAATTTAATGAAATAAAATTACTTAATAATATATTTAAATCTACCTTCAAATATGAGAGATCATTTTCTCATAAAATTTAAATCTTATATCTTTATCTAGAGTTAATACCAAAAACTTCTTCTAAATCATTCATGATTTAACAGTTTAGTGTAATAGTGTTTAAATTATTTAGATATTTGTATGTTATTACTATTTTTAATCTACGACATTTTGTATCTAAAATATCTTTATAGAGACAACTAACATAAAAAAGCGATCTATAAAATCGATTACATATCATTAAAAAAAATGTATGAATTATTTGTTGGAAAAAAAAATCAAACAATCAAATTGTGGAGAAATTGAGAGTAAAAATGATATTGTCCAATATGATAGAAGAGAGCTAAAAAGGTATTTAGAAAATAATAATACAAAAAATTAATTGACTATTTCATATTGATTAAAAATCTTAAATTTTATTAGAGTATCATTTCTAACACGTCAAACCGTTAACTTATAGTATAATAATAAGTGCTTGTGAATATTTTTAATACTTTTTGTTGGTGGTAGTCAAGCAGATTATCATTGTCTTATGGATATAATTTATTTATTTTTCTAAAAATCATCACTACCTAGTATCCCTTTACCAAGAATTCTTTTATGATGTATTTGAAATTAAAATTATATTCATAATCAATATAAATCATTTTTATAATGTTGGAAATAGTTCCTGCTAATTCCGAAGCCGGTCTCAACCAACCGACCCCGGACTCTCCCAACCCTGGTGAACCTATAGTCCCTCCTATTGCAGAGCCATATCATCCGTTACAGGAGCATAGAGAGAGGCTAAGGGAGCTTGCGGGGCGCCTTACAATAAATACTATCGGGTGTCCCTTGCCCGAGGCTATTTTCGAGGCGGTTATTAAGACCCAATTTCAAATGAAATAAAAAATCGAGGAAGCCCTTCGTTCGGACAGAGTGCAAGACACATCTCTTTTTGAGAAAAGACACCTGATTCGGAAGGAAATCGTGGATCAACTTTTACAATTTATTTTCAAGATTATAAAAATTATATTACAAGAAGGTTGATATATATATTATTGATTGATTAACATGGTATAATCGTTATACTACCCACATTATATTTGAATTTAAATTATGTATATACTTTTGTCACATTATCTTTTACTTATTATAGCAAGTAAAATTCTTTATTTTTAAATTATAATTTTTACTTTTTATAATAAAAAAACTATATATAGAGATATTTTTTAAGTAATATTTTTGATACTAATAGTTATTTGCCATCCACGTAAAATCCTTACTTCATCACTAACAATTATTTGCCATTGGATTGTTGCATCTCAAAACATCTTTATAACTCTAGTTACTTGTTTAATATTCCGTAATGTTATTATTTTAATATCTCAAGAAATTATAAAATTTGAAATAAAAGTGTTTCTTAGTTATTTATTTAAAAACTTGCAATCTTATTATTCTAAGAGCTTGGATATGAATATCCCAAATTTTTTTTTTTGTTGCATTTTCAAAGTAAGAATTAATATTTAAAAACTAAAATTATGTTTGATCATAAATATAAATTA